TATTTAATGTTTCATATATATTTCATATATATTTATTTTTTATATTTATTTAGGCTAAATTTTATTAGGCTAAAGTCTTATAATTAGAGGAAAATTTTCATTTCTGTTTCATACAATAAGCTACAGAATTAAAAATGTAGAATTTTTCTCATGTTATATATTATCATCTTATATATTAGAAAATGATATACTTATATAAATGAATTTTAGAATATTCCATGCGATATTAAATAATAAACAAAATGTTTGGTGTAGATTGAAAATTGAACAATAGTAATGTGACCTAGTTAAATTTTTATCATGAAAAAAGCAGCTTTAGATTTTCTATAGAATCCACGATTGAGATGAAATAATAAGCAACGTCCGTATATGTATATACAGAAAGATAATGATAATAGAACTTTTTTTGTGTTACTTAGCTCTTTTTTTCATATACATAAACTTTCTGGTATGATTCGGTTGCAAGAGATGGCGACAGTTATGGTATATTTACACAGTTATTTCTACACGAGTAAATAATTAGAAAATTATTCAAAAAAGGAGGACTAAATTAGGTCATTGACATTTTCAGATAAAAATGTATAAATTAATTGAGATAAAAGCTATGCATTATTTATTTACTATTTACTTAATTACATTTTTTCTATAATTGATAATTTAATGTTATAGGATTTCATAGCAAAATTAGCATACAGGATAGAATTTAATTTTTTATAAAACAAAATTGAAGAAAATAACATATTTAATAAGAAAGACAGAAGACAGAAATGTAAAAATTTAGAACTTGTTATTATATTAATAAAAAAATTTTAATTCGACTCGCGCGCGATTATAAATATTATTTTATGCTCACATATTCTTATAAAAAATAATAATTAAATCTCCTTATTTATTGTTAAAGAGAATTGCCAACTGTCTCTTTACGACTTTTTCATCATTATTTATTATTTAACGCAATCCATTTAATCAAGTCATAAAATCTTTTAATTTTCCTTTCGCTCTCCTTTAAGATTCTTTCAACACAAATTCGGCGCGCCTTTTAATTAAATCTGGAGACAGAAACTATATTAAAAAGAGAGAAAAAGAGATAAATCCACGCACGGTTTCTCGAGCCGCGACCGCGTATTCCTCATGCCGACGAAAATTTACGCGAAAACAAGAGACGCGACTGTCCGTGTTCTCCCGGCGGCGTCTGTCTGCGAGGCGGGCCTTGTCCAGAGTCAAGATCAAGATCAAGGTACTACCAAGGTGGCCAGACCCACAGCCAGGAGTACGATAATGCTGGTACGCGCTGCCACGATATCCTCTTGCAAACACCAGTATGCGTCGATGTGACCTACTAAGCGCGGCATATGTATGTATGTACGCATGCCATGGTGAGTGTAAGATGAGGAAGGCAAAAGTACGAGGGGGGGAAGGAATCCTCGCAGCTTCATGTTGAGCCTCCACCAGTGGGATGAGTGGAACCGTCTCGTCAAGCTGGACCATAAAAACATACCTTCGCAAAGATTATTCGCGCATCCAATACCTTGGTAGCATTACGCGACGAAAGATGCAAATCAAATCGTAATGAAACACTAATAATGATAAGAACAGAGGGGAAATGGAGGAAGTGTAAAATCTCGCATTTTTTAATCCTTTTTTAATCTTTTA